TGTTGTTAAGCATCTGAGATTACTATGCAATGCACAGTTAAAGCTTGCTTTAACACAGTAAACTTCACTAATTTGTACCGATTAATCAGATAGTCTGAAACCTGTTTTTGTTTTAGATAGCGTGATGCTTAACCCAGTTGTGTTTTAGAAAAACAAAATTAGGCATTTGCGTTTTTCTGATTAGATTTGACAGGCCAAGATTGGTGGGATCTGAACACTTCTGCTAATCTCTCTTCCACCACACAGACACTGATGTTTCAGCATCTTCCTTGTTGTTGTTTATGTTTAACAAGCGCCTTCTGACTTTTTTTCCCAGAGGCCGTGAAGAGGGTCTTCAAGTGGCTTCAGTTTGAGACAGTTGAGCACATGGATCTAGAAGCAAAGCAAATGTATGCGAAAGTTAAAGAATACAGCAAAAAAGATCACAGTAACATGGACTGTTTTGTTTGCTTCATTTTTTCCCATGGTGAAAAAGACAAAATAAAAGGGGTTGATCGTAATTTCGTAAATATTAAAGATTTACTCTCCTGCTTCAGTGGATCTAATTGTCCTTCTCTTGCTGGCAAACCCAAGCTGTTTTTCATCCAGGCTTGCCAAGGCTCTGTAGGTCATCCAGCTGTCACAGTAAAAGAAGATTTTTCTGACCATCTTGAGATGGATGCCACCCCTCTGACTTCCATTCCTGATCAGGCTGATACTCTGGTTGGCATGGCTACAGTGGAAGACTATGAGTGCTACCGCTGTACAGAGACTGGCAGTGTTTACATTCAGTGCCTCTGTGACAAGATGGAGTTGCTTTGCCCACTGTAAGTACTGTTTTTAATCTAGGGACGTTTGGGGTATTGCAGACATTCATACTTAAGCATGCCGTGCTGAAACATCAGTGTTTTCCATGTGTGCCATATAATGTTTTTCACCTGCAGGACAATGCAGGACAGTAATTGTTCTGGAATTGGTCATTGTTATTCTTCTACAGATGAACCAAAGTACAAGTGACTTCTCCTAGTTTGCCTGTGACAGAACCAGGATTGTAATGCTGGAACATTGCATATAAACAAGTGTGTGTATGTGTGTGCATGTTTTTTAACATTTTTTTGACTGATAGATGATTTTTCTTCCAGTGACACCTGATGAGAGGTGAATTTGTTGAGTGATTACACAAACAAGAAAATCTGTATTCTTTAGTCAGAATTTTCCTTGTTGCCTCCCTCCCATCCCCATCATAAACTTGATGTGGAAAATAGGATTTCCCTTCAGATATCGCTTTCTCATGGTGTCCAGAAGAGGGCTTGAAGAACGCACAAGTTTGGTTCTGTTTCATCTTAGTTCACTCTTCTGACTATAACCAAAGTAGGGGACTGCTTTTGCTGGTAAAGCGATGCTACACGGAGGTTGCTTTTATTCCCCCAAACACACTGAATTCTGTGGTTACACAATGGAGTATGCAATTTCAGTGACAGGCAGGGTAAGAGGAAGATACTAGCCTTCCCTGAGATACCGCTTTATTGGAGCAAACATAGATCAGCTTCTTGGCCTAGGTGCAAGTACCGTGTATTTCAATGTAACTTTTCTTCATTTTTATTCAAGCAACAAGGATCTTATAACTATCCTGACAGAGGTGAACAAGGAAGTGGGAGAACGAGTATTAAATGGATGGAAGCAGATGCCAAAGATAACATCAACCCTACGAAAGCAATTGATCTTCCAAATGCCACAATGTCAGTCATCTGAAAAGCAGAAAAATAAGAATACACTCAGTTAGGAAACACATCTGGAATGGACTTACACAGAGAAGAGAATTTGCAGATCAATTATCTGGATCTGTGTAATTGCCCCAGTCTTTCAAGGGGCCATTGGACCTAAATTTTCCAATTCCCTTGTTTAATCAGTCTCCTGGCACCTGCATCTGTAGCAATCTGGTAAGGTCGTGGAGGAGTACAGATCTGACTTTCTGTCCTGCAGGAGCAGTGGAGTCCGTTCAGTCTGGGTTTCAAGTGAGGAAGCACTTCCAAGTAATATGATTTTTAAGAGTTATTAGAATTGCCAAGGGAAGTCCTATTTCTGTCCAAGTTGTTAGAAGTCCATGAAATCTGAAGAAAAGAACGGATGGATTCAGAGTGCTAGATCCCTTCCTAGGGAGCATGTGTAAGATTGTAAATTATATACCCAGAGGCGAATCATTGACTGTCTCTGGAAGCTGTATAATTTTTCATGGAAAATAACATCCCTGTCCAGAAGGATCAAAAAAAGATTATTATGATAATAAAAGTTTGGTTCTTTTCCTCAAAATGTTTGGTTTGTTCTATGTTTACTTGCTAATTTACTTGGCTAAACAGCACTGCTGTTCAGTTTTTTTAATAGTAAAGGTTCCAATTGTGTTTTTTCTGAGACTTCTTAGGGGACAGTCTGTTTTGAATGGCTGTCAGCCGCTGGAAGGAAGGTCCCAATCCATTAGATCCACTACTCTGAGATGCCTTCTCCTCCTGGCAACTGATGTTAGCTTCTGTGGACTCTTGTTTCTGTTGTAATAAATCCTCTTGGTTTTCACATCACCTTTGTTTATGGTGTGTTGCTCTTTCGCGTGAGCTGACTGAGGGACAGTCAGTATGATGAACACTTTGACTTCAGCAAAAGTTATTTTGCTCTCCTTGAAGTATTCAATGGCAGCCACCCCGAGGGATAGCGTATTGATATCCCTTCAGTAGCAGCTGGAGAGATGTTAGGAAAGAATAAGTTCAGGGCTTTCATGATAATGTCAGCTGATGCCAGTGAGGCTGCTATTACCTTGAATCCTCAGGGATGTGTAGGTGATATGCGTGAGCTCTATGGGATTCTAACGGCTAATTCCTTTTGAGTTTATAACAAGATAAAGGATGGATTTGAGACATCTTGTGACTTCTGCTCTTTGTAGTTTGCTTTTTTTTTGAAATCTATGGCTAGCCATAAAGCAGAGCTTCTTTATTCAATCCTGCTTGTGTTCTTGACACAAAACTTTTTTTT